TGCAAAAAATGGTTTAGATTAAGTAATGAGATAGGGTGTTGATTGCCATTGTTGTTAAGACAGTGAAAGTGGAGAAGTGTTAGGAAACATGGAAAGATCATGACATTGCATAGTCATTTAATTATTACTCTTGCATTGTAAATTACAATTGGTGATATTTATTTCATGAAATAAAATGATGTTGTAATATGAACTGTGAAAATGTGTATGGGGTAAATACGGTGGTAAGCCCGGTTAGGGGGTGTAGATTAGTTTGATAAGTTGGCCTGAGTGTCCTTGGTGAAAGACCAGAAAACCGCGCGGATAGGTGTCGAGCCTTCCGGTTAATACCGGTAAAAATGACAGTTTGGTAGTACTCGTAGAGTCTACTTGCAGACACCAGCCTAGGGATTACCAGTGTCGTATTTACTGTCCCTATTGATTAAAAATTGGAAGTTTTTGAAATGCGTTGAGATTGCTAACTTTTATTGAAATGAATTTTTCTTTAAGAAAGCATGGCATAGCTTGAACACTTGCATCTTATAGAGAATGGCATAACTGTGTATACTATGTTAGAATTCTCTACTAGGCTTTATGCTCACCCCTATGGGACTTTGGTGCAGGTAAAGACGTGGTGATCCCGCCAAGTTGAGGGCGCAGATAATTGTGAAGAGTACACTACTCTTATTTTGTTGTGATATTTTTGTAAAGCCTAGGGCTAATATGTATTGGGTCCGAAAGACCACTTTTGTGTAACCGGGCTATTACCTTGGAAGATGTAAGCCCTTAAGGGCATTTTATTGTTTTGTGACTAGATACTCCACATGTTATAGATTCATGTATTCCTTTATGTCGTGAATGTATACCGCATGTGGCATTTTTGTATTTAAACCCATTTAATACATACGTGAAGATGGAAGGATTAATGTCATTACGTAGTGAGTGTCTATTAATTTGGAGAATTCATGTTGAAATATTTTCGGGGCGTTACATTGGAGAACTACAGCTGCGTAGATGCTCATACACTAAAACAAATCACAGAATAGATCACGAAACACTTACAATAGTGTCCCATATCCCACACAGAGCCCCACCATTTTCCATAAAAGAACTCAATTTGTCCAATAATGATTTTAAGGGTTAGTTACCAACGGGGGCTGTTTTCTCAAATGCGACTGCAATATCAATTATAGGCGTTGTGGTAGTATTTATGAATTACAACTACCCAACTGCACCACCAAGAAACCAAAACTTAAAATGCCCCTATCACATATATTAGCAATTGTATTAGCTTCTACACTTGTTGGAGTAACCTTGGCATCATTCTTCATAATTTGTTGGTTCAAGAAGAAAAACGGTTTCATTGCTAAAAGAATCATTCTTTGAACGTCTCTTATGAAAAACTCAACGCAACAAATGGTTTCTCTTCTTCGAATCTTATTGTTTTTGGTAGTTTTGGCTTTGTATATAGAGGAATTCTTGATCAGGATGGGAAGTTAGTTGCCACTATCAAAGTACTTAACCTTCAAAATCATGGAGCTACCAAGAGTTTTGTGGCAGAGTGTGAAACCTTGAGAAATATTTGACATCGAAACTTGGTCATAATCATAACTTCTTGTTCCAGTATTGACTTTCAAGGAAATGAATTTCTTCAGTTTAAAAAAAAAAAAAGGAAATGAGTTCAAAGCTCAAGTTTATGAATTCATACCTAATGAGACTCCAGAAGTGGTTGTATTCTAGTCTAAAAACAAATGATCAACAAAATGAGGTCTGGAGACTCAACATTCTACATAGCATAATCATTTCAATAGACTTAGATTGCTTGTATTGGACTCCACATATACCCCCACAGAGTTCAATAGACTTCATTGAATAGCCTAAGAAAATACAAAACAATAGGAGTTGGCGAGAGGCCAAGTCACAATTACCCCCAAAGCACCAGCACAAATGCATTACACAGGAACTACACTTGGGAACTAAATTTCTTGTTAGCATCCAGGACTTAATAAGATCCCGCTGCAATTCATGACAATGCCAGCACCCAAAAATGGCTTAATAATTAGAGATAGGTTAATTATAGTTTTAGTCCCTATAGTACGAGCTTTATGTAATTTTGATCCTCAATGTCTAAATTGTGTCAATTTAATTTCCAACGTATAAAAGTTATTTCAATTTAGCTCTCAATGTTTAAATTATGTCAATCTACTCTCCATTGTATAAAAAGTTTTTCAATATGCCAAAATAACAAATAACTCACTTCGGAGATGAAAAATGTATTTAACCCTTAGTATATGCAATTAATGCACCAGAAGCCCTAGCAATTGTCATATTGCATGTAATGGATGCAAGCATTATTAGTTTCTTCTATGCAACCACAAAATATATTATCACTTATCACACAGTCTAAAGGGCGGACTATCAATTCCAGGACTGTCCATCGTGGGCAAGTTATGCAAGCAAGTTGAGCAATGGAAACAATGCACGCTTTCTATTTTGTTTTCCCACACTGGCAAAATTGAAAAAATTAAAAAAAAAATTTAAAAAAAAATGAGAAAAGGAAAAAAAGAAGCCAAATTAATTCACGTGCATTACAATCCTGCCATTGTGGAATCTTTAGGTTATTTAATCGCAACCCAATTAAGGCTAACTCTACATACAAAACAAAATTAGAAAAATAACATTTCAAATTTCAGGAATGAATTCGCAGCTGCTCCAATTATGTCTTATGGTCATGACATTGCTACATGTTGGAATGCTCCCGGAACCACTACAGCTAGAACCTTTGGTGGTAGCGAGACAGATCTCCTTTCATTGCTAGCCTTCAAGTCGAAGATAATACACGACCCTTGTCATGTCATTTTGTAATAAATTCATTACATTTTTTCCCCTTTGTTTAGCATTAAAATATTGGCCATTATGCCCTTGTGTGGATAATCTACAAGATTCAATTGGATTAATTGTGATTTAAATAATTAATAATGCTTTTATGTGTTTGAACTCCATGAATTATGTTAACCCCCGAACCAATCTAGAATGAGTTCATATTTAGGCCCACATTTTTGCTTTTTGGTAACCAAATTACTGGACAATGAAGCTTGATGCTTGTCAAAGCGATGATAAGTGGTAAACATTCTGTAAAAAAGGAAGATGATTATGCTTGTACTTTTAACTTCAAACTGGGAATCTATATCTCACAACAAAGAAGCACAGACATGGACACGTGACACGACACGGATACGACACGAACACTCAGACACGGCAATTTTCGAAAAATGTAGGACACGACACGTGGGGGACACGGACAAAATATAAAATTTTATATATTTATTATATGTCATATATATGAACATGTCATTCTAAGACAATAAATAAATACATTATAACACTAATTTCTATAAATTGATGTTATTTTTCCTTTATCATCTTATTCTATGTTATTTTGTTCAAACTTATAATTAGTTTCGTGTGTCAAGTCGATGGACACGCATGTCCTTCAAGTGTCCGAAGAGTGTCCAAGTTTTAAATTCTTTATAAAAAAATCAAGACATGTTTGGATGAGTGTCGGACACGTGTCGGGAGAGTGTCTGATGAGTGTCGGTGTTCGACACGGACACGACACAGATACGCCTCCTTTTTAGAAGTGTCCATGCTTAGTCTCACAAAGTGTATAAATAATTGGATTATCAAATTATTTCCTATTTAGTGCATGTGTGAATGATAATGTAATGTACTTGTGTGATTCAAGTTTATTAACCTTTTAGATGAGTTTGTTTGTTTCACAGAATAGAAGTGTGTATATATATATTTGAAAAAAGAGAAAGCTACTATTGAACCCGTGAAAATGAAATGGAGATGTATTTAAACTGGTGTTTAGGAGTTCGGGCCAGCCCTAAGTTTTAAGGGGGTTCGAGAGGCCCTTCTATTTGTTCCTTACTATTCACAAATTTATCAAGCACTCGCAATTAAGATTGAACAATTTTTTCTACTTTTTGCTTCCTTTTTCTTTATTCATATCCGAAAATATACTTCCTAGGAGGCATGGCTATATAATAAAAAATCCACACAAATTATAATAAAAAATCACAATGACTGATATCTACAAATAATATGTTTTCATAAATTAGAGAAGAACAACGATTAGAGATTTCCATTGAAGCACCAAACCAACGAAAAATAGCATCAAGCATAGAATTAGAATAGATTTATTGCATTTACACATATAAGCATATATAACAATAAATTCAATTCAAGGACAGAACAACACAACACGAATTAGGGCAACAACTATAATTAGGGCTAACTGAGGGCAACAAAACAGTGAAAAGCCATAATTAACAGTGCTAAGTAACTTGAACAATTATAGCCCTAACTGTTAATTAGGGCCAAACAATTATATCCTCAAATAAATCAAGGCTCACAAATTGTAGCAAAGAAATTAGAGAAAACAACTATAGTCTTCGATTATTAATATTTGATAAACAAATAAAGAGAGTGAAGATGAAGAACTCACAAATTAATTTCATCGGACCAATACATGGTAGGGATTTGTGTTCAAGGGTAAATCAAAATAGGATTGTAGTTTAAAAAAAAGGGTAATTTATACAATTGATCCCTCTATTTTGAGCGAAATTTTATTTTGGTCCTACTAATTTTAATTTAAATAATTTGATCTCTATACTTTGAATTTTGTTACAATGTGATCCCTTCGTCATGTATTATTAATATTTTGAACGGGGAAAAAAAAATCACGTGCAAGGAACATATATAAAATTTGAATTTGTGATGTACATTTAAATTTGATGTAATGAGAATCACACCCAAAATAAATTCAATCAACACATTTCAAATTCTAACACTTTCTTTGAATAAGCAACATTACTTTTCACTAAATGTACAAATGTAGAGTTGGCTCAACCAATGCGGAAGTAAGATTGTTATTAAACATGTAACCTCTTCCAGGAAGGAGATTATTAAGACAAAAGCATTACATTCCAATTGATTCCCTCATAAATTCATCTCTTTCAATGTATTTCAGATCCTAGAAGAGTGTCTTTGATGAAATGCAATTTAGCTACAGCATCATTAATGTCCATTCTTTCTCTAGGCAATTCTAAAGAACAAATGACTCCAATTTCAAGTATCAAACTCATGCACTCCACAATCTTTTCACCTCTTATGAAGCTTTCTTCTTCTTCCCCTTCGATCTTAAAAATTGTTAGGTCTGAAATCTCTGATACACTACAGCGCAAAGCCTCTTTCACAAAGCTATGGAGGCTTAACCCATCTTTAAACATTTCATTGGTAGGTCTCTTCCCAGTAAACATTTCTAACACGAGGATGCCAAAACTGTAGATATCACCGTATGCCGAGACCTCACATCCCATACCATATTCTGCAAGCAAAAATGAAAATGGAAGGGGAAAAAATATAAGATATAAAAGACAAAAATGCTCCACAAACAGAAAAAGTCAAAGAACTATGCATAGAAAAAATAATGTGTGGCCCAAATCACATGTGCAATTTTTTTTACACTTTTTGATGCATGAAACAATTAAGAATAAATGAAGGTATTTTCACCTGGAGCAGGATAACCTATTGTTTCCCTTATGCCAATAGAGCTTGTTTCATTTGCAAACAAGCCATCGATGGCATGGTCAGCAAGGAATTTTGTTAACCCAAAATCACCAACTTTAACCCATCTTTAAACATTTCATTGGTGGGTCTCTTCCCAGTAAACATTTCTAACACGAGGATGCCAAAACTGTAGATATCACCGTATGCCGAGACCTCTCATCCCATACCATATTCTGCAAGCAAAAATGAAAATGGAAGGGGAAAAAATATAAGATATAAAAGACAAAAATACTCCACAAACAGAAAAAGTCAAAGAACTATGCATAGAAAAAATAATGTGTGGCCCAAATCACATGTGCAATTTTTTTTACACTTTTTGATGCATGAAACAATTAAGAATAAATGAAGGTATTTTCACCTGGAGCAGGATAACCTATTGTTTCCCTTATGCCAATAGAGCTTGTTTCATTTGCAAACAAGCCATCGATGGCATGGTCAGCAAGGAATTTTGTTAACCCAAAATCACCAACTTCCCAGTCATATCTTTGTCCAGAAGAATGTTGCTTGGCTTAAGATTGCAGTGGACTATTGGGGATTGGGCCTGATTGTGAAGATAATTCAGGGCACAAGCAACATCAATGACAATATTTAGTCTTTGAAGAAGGTTTAGCTTCTTAAACTCTTCATTTGACAAATCTTCATTGCAATTATGATGTAACCACTTTTCAAGGCTCCCATTGACCATGAACTCATAAACCAGGGCCTTGATGTCATGACCCTGATAATCTATCGTTGAACATGCCGTTAGCACCTTGACAAGATTTCGATGTTTGAAGTTTCTTAGTGCCTCACATTCGGATACAAAGCTCTTCGAAGCTCCATGTCACAAAAGATTAAGTACCTTCACAGCGACAATTCTTCCATCAATAACTCCTTTGTACACAGACCCAAAACTACCAACACCGATTAAATTGAATGATCAGAAGCCATCAGTGGCTTTAACAAGAGTTTGGTAAGACACCCTCAAGAGTAAATTTTTTGATGAATATGAAGGAGTATCTTTTCTTCTTTTTCTAAACCAGCAAAGATATAGAACACACCCCATGAGAGCTAGTCCTACAAAACCAAAGGATATAGAGAGTGCTAAAGCTAAGGCACTATTTGATCTCCTCTTTTAATCCACTTTCAAGTTGCATTTAGGTAGCTTCAATTCAGCTACACCCCCCACAGAGCTTACTGTTTCCCACCACTGATATTGCACTTGCATTAGTGAATACACCTTGTGTAGGTACTACACCTTCAAAATTATTAAAAGGCAGATTCAAATTTTGCAACAAGATAAAGCTCTCCAAGTACATATGAATTTCACTGGACAAGTTATTGCTTGCGAGACCCAACTCTACAAGGCCTCTCAAGAAACTCAAAGAAGAAGGACTGGTTTCGTTGAAAAAGTTGTTCCCCAAATGCAGTGTTTCCAGGCTTGTGCAGCTGCCTAGAGTGCTTGGAATTTCACTGGATAACAAGTTGTACGAGACATCCAAGTAACCAAGGTTTATCAAATTTGCAACTTCTGTGGGAAGAAAACCACTCAATTGATTTTGGGATAGGTCTAGCAATATAGATAAGGATGAGATAGAAACAACTTGTTTTGGTATGGCACCAGTAAGGTTGTTTTGAGAAAGAAGCAACATTTGCAAATTACTACAATTCCCTAGGCTCGGAGGAATGCTTCCATGAAAATAATTGATTCTTAAAGCAAGTATACTTAAGAAACTTAGATTTCCTAGGGAAGACGGAATGTTACCAGACAATGAATTGTCGTCGAGATTCAATCTGTGTAGATTTTGAAGCTTTCCAATCTCACTTGGAATAGTACCAATGAATTGGTTAAACTGCATATTCAAACTCTGCAATCCAACAAGAATTACAATCCCGGGTGGAATGATTCCGAATATATGATTGTGGTTTAGATTTAAATATTCAAGATTTCTTGAGAGATTACCGATGTATTCTGGAAACTTGCAGCCAAAATTGTTGATGTTCACTTCCAAACGATGTAAATTGGTGGCATTGAACAAAGAAAAGATAAAGTTCAAGTTATCAGCTTCCCCGGATCCAAGCTGATTGTTTGCAAGGAGTAGCCTCTTGAGGTTTTGCAGCCTCGATAAATTAGGAACCTTTCCAGTAAGTTTGTTTTGAACCATTTCTAGGGAATAGAGTTTAGATGCATTTGATATTGAAACCGGAATTGATCCTGTAAATTGGTTTTCATTAATGCTGAAGAGTTCAAGATTGGGAAGAGTGATTCCCAAGTCCCAGGCAAGACTTCCCTGAATTTGGTTAGTATTGTTGGAACAATCTTCTGTGTAAATAAAATAAATTGAAACAAAGCCAAACAAAATAAAATATAAATTATAGAATTTATTTTGTTGAACCAAATAAAAATTAAAATACCAAGTCGAGTGTGTGACACTCTGTCCTTAAGACAGATTCATCCCGCTACGGTGCTTATGGTTATGTGGTGTCTATCTTCCAGGATACAATGATCTTAACCAATTTGTAGTAGCACTCCAAAACAAATTGTACAGCGAACCAAACCTGTGTTCTAACTCTCTAAATTTTATTCTAAAACTAATATGAAGAATAATGCACCAAAGATAAAAGTTTGGACAACAAAAGAATGATTTTCAGACTATTTTTTCGATGCCCAAGACTGTTGGAAATGGTCTGAATTTATAAGCAAAAAAATTTGTCCCAATAGGTATGTAAACCGCTGAACAGATATGCCACTGTTTTAGGACAGATTCAGATTGGGAATTGGACAGATCTGCAACTGTGTAGATTTGAATCTGTCCAAATTTCAACAGATTAAAACCTGTCTTGATAGAATTTTCTAGATATTGTTATCAACCACAATCTGTAGGAACAAGTCTACAATATATAGACCAGAACAGGTACAAATTTGAAGTGAACAGGTGTAAACTATTTTTGAATAGATGCAGTTATAAAACAAACAGATTTACAGCCAGATTAATGAATCTATTCGGTAGTTACAAATCAGTAACTGCTGGGCAGTTATTAGCACTGTTCAAACTGTTTAAAAAGCATAATTCGGCCTGGAAGAGGCATAAAACACGGACAGAAAAATTGAAATTCAAATTTGAATTAGATTTCATTTAGATTTTTCTAGAAAAAATTTTGTCCAAAAAATTAATATTAGAATCGACCCGACCCACAACCGCGCCCGGCACGGCCGGACGGACAGCGGCGGCGGCGGCGCACGTGTGTGATGGTTTGGGCTAAGGTTCACTTTATTAGCACTGTTCAAATAGTTTAAAAAGCAAAATTCGGACTGGAAGAGGCATAAAACATGGACAGAAAAATTTAAATTCAAATTTGAATTAAATTTCATTTAGATTTTTCTGGAAAAAATTTTGTCCAAAAAATTAATATTAGAATCAACCCGACCCACACCCGCGCCTGGCACGGCCGGACGGACGGCGGCGCGCGTGTGTGGTGGTTTGGGCTAAGGTTCACTTTGTCTATAACTCCTCCTTTCTACAAACTTGGGGTGCCCCTTGGGGCCCAACCCAAGTGTTGTAGGCTGCAGCTTATATACACATAAAAGCTCTCTTAAAGTTTCAACGTGGAACAAGCCTCACAAGGAAACCCACATTAAAAACTTTAAATGTCCATTCCACGAACCCGAAAACGACGTCATGTTCCCATTTACTCATAAATGCTTTTGACGAACCGTCTTCACCGTGTGACTTGCCACGCGGCAAGGAACATTTTACCTCTTCGGACCCACCCCAAAAGACGTTCGGGGCCCACTCAATTTTGGGCTCAAAGTCGGCCCAAAATAAGCCTAATAAACCAAATTTTCCAACAAGTAGTGACATCGGAAGTTGTGAGAGAAGAGTGGTTGGAAAGCGAGGCAGGGATGACGCCAAACAACCTGTTCATGCCGAGTGCTAGTGTCTGAAGATTCTTTAATCGATCAAAACCACCAAGAATGCTGCCGTCAAAGTAGTTGTTATCTAAATACAGGTCGTGAAGAGATGACAAATTCGCAAAAGGAGAGATACTCCCTCTAAGATTGTTGGCCTCTGTAATTACTATTTCGAGCTTCGACAAGGATCCCAGCTCCACAAGAACTTCTCCTACCAACCCATTGTGAGAAAAATCGATGGAAATAAGGTTAGCACAACGAGATATATTTATAGGAATTTGGCCACCAATTAAATTGTTACTCAACTGCAAAATCTGTAGCCTTGGCAAACGGCCAATTTCTGGGGGAATTTCATCGCCAAAGTTATTGTTCTAAATCAGTAATTCCCTCATAAAGCTTAAATTCCCGAGGTGTGGTGATATCAATCCCACCAATTCCCGGGAATGTAAGTCCAAGGCAGTGACCATCTGATGCCTGCGGCTACACATAACGGCCTACCATTGACAGAAGTGGATAGAGTCATTCCAGGAGCTCAAAACATACAGTGGTTCCTCAATTATTTGGGCCTTGATTGTCAGCAATGAAAGCCGGTCGGTCTCGTTCCCCATTAGCTTGGAGCTGGATATGGTAATAGTAAAGCCAGAGATGAGCATGCTTAAACAAGACAAGAGTATTAGATGAATATGCAAATTGTGAACTAGCCATGACATGCTCAAGCTTTAGCTTGGAAGCCCTATTGAGCAAAGAAAATGTGTGGTTGTGTTTTGGTGAACTGCTTTTTAATGCTAAGTATATTGCATGGCCGGCTCATGAGCAAGCCGGCAAAACGGCCACTTTGACCTGCTAGATTTGGACTAAAAACAAAGACCCTATTTAGAAAAAATTCTTATAAGATTTAACTCGATTTTTTTTTTTTTTTTTAGGTTCAATTACCAATAGTTCTTAATAATTAGATTTAATTCTCATCAGGTCCTATTGAAAATAAATCATAGTAAAATCGTCATTAATTTTATTTATTTTTTTGTGACGATTTTTTGCATGTCCCTAAAAATTGACAATTTGTGACTTTTTTTGCCAAGATTTTTATAAATTGTCGTAAAACTTATAATTAGTGACTTTTTCTCTGACAAATTTTTTAAACTGTCGCTGAATGTTAAAAATTAGCTACTTTTTATGACAATTTTTTTAAAATGTCGCTAAAACTCATAATTAATGATATTTTTTGTGACAAAATATTTTAAACTGTCGCTAAAAATTAACAATTAGAGACATTTTTTAATTGATGAAAAGAACTATTAATTATCATATGACCTGTTGAATAATAAATTTATCTATTAAGACCTGCATTTTATTTATTTTTTGACCTCAATTAAATAAAGAGCCCAAACACCAAATAAAAAACAAAACTATTTTTATTAGTAGCGGCACCCAGTTACTTATCAAAATAAGTCCAACGTTTAATACCAAACTCAAAAATAAAATTAATATTAAGCCCCAAAAAAAAAAACTTATTTTTGTTAATAGAGAGCTCAAAGTAATTGATTTTACTATGAATAATACTGTATGCACTAGTTAGTATATTAACTAGTGTATCAATTGATGATGTGGAATAATTTAAGACGTTTTTGGTATTTGTAATTTGTGTAATGAGTGGAGTCAATAATAGTATTATAACTAGTGTTGGTACATTAATTAGTATACTTATTGGTGCATGTATGTTGCACCACCGTTTTACTTTACCAAACTTTTCTTCAATTCAATTCACCATTTTGGAAATTGAACTTTCTTAGGTCTTGATATTGTTTTGTATCATTTTATATTTTAGGATAAATTATAAATACACCCCAGAGATTTGTTTAAAGTATAAATTGTTTTTTGTGGTTTAAAAAATTATAAACACCTCATTGTTAGAATTTTTTTATTTAGCAGAATTAACTAAAAAAATAAAATTCGCAATTACTCTCCTACATAATAATAAAATTACCTAAATTATTAATTGAAACATATTTCTAGCATCATTAAAAACTGTTAATTGACTTGATAATTTATTAATAAAATAGACGATTTGTTATGAAATTAGAAATCTCAGAGAGTGGAATATAATTTCCAGAACCATAAGAGGTGATTCGTATTTTAATCAAACCTCATGGGGTGCATTTGTAATTTACCCTAAATTTTACTTCAACTGTTTGTTAATTTTACTTAAAAATTAAAAGAGGAAATATCATTTTGCCCCCCAAATGTTCACATGTTTTTCAATTTGACCCCTAAACTTTAATTAATATCAATTTTACACCTAAACTTTCAAAACTTTGATCAATTTGGCCTCTACCATCACATTTTGTCTACAATTAGCCGGAATGTGCTGACGTGGCATCAAAATTCATTTGGAATTTCATTTTACCTCCAAAATATTAAAAAAAAAATAATTAAATTTAAATATTTAATAAATAATTTTTATCTCAATAATGAGAATTTAAATTTTAAATAATATATACTTTGCAAAAAAAATAATAAAAAATATAAAAATTCTCATTTAAAATTATCTTGAGACTATGAAGTATGGATAATTCAACAAATATGTTGTACCTGTACTGAGTACTTAACGACGTATGATATTTCTGCACACATATCGGGTACACAAAACACGTAGTCAAATTTTTCTTTTTTAATTTTTGGCGTACTCAAACATATCTACTATATACTCAATCGAAATAATATTTTTTTTCTACTGCAAAGATAAAGTTCATTTCACTAGATTTCTTTTTAATTTTTAATTTTATATACTTAGTATGGTTTTAAAATTAAGTTATGGTTTATAAGTTATTTAATATAATGATATTTAATTTTGGTTTATCTTATACCAGTACTTTTGGCATTAAATGCCAATTGCATGTTGAGTTTCACAAATTAAACCATTTAATCAACTTTTTTATTATTCCAAATTAAAAACAAGTATTTTTTTACAAACTTATTAAGTCGTACTTGTACCCTACTTTTTTTTTTTTGAATTTTACCATGTCGATGTACCCGTATTGATTCCAATACCAGGTTATTATTTTGAGGGCGTTACATCTTATACCAGTACTTTTGGCATTAAATGCCAATTGTATGTTGAGTTTCACAAATTAAACCATTTAATCAACTTTTTTATTATTCCAAATTAAAAACAAGTATTTTTTTACAAACTTATTAAGTCGTACTTGTACCCTACTTTTTTTTTTTGAATTTTACCATGTCGATGTACCCGTA